CAGGTATCATATTTTAAATTCAATTTGGCATTATTTAGCCTATAAATAATCACGATATTTATTAAATGAATATTAAACATTTCTTTTTTCCAAGAGTGATCCGAGAAATACATGTTAATGTTAAAAGAAAAAAAAAGAAAGAAAAAAAATGCCTGTTCTGGGGTTTAAACCTGCGTTTTTCAGCTCCAATGCTCTTGGCAGGAGTTCTAGCCTATTTGAATACTCTTCAAAGCGGAGATAATGCATATGGGGGCTCATACCTTACGACATGAAAAATAATGAGTGACAAGTGTACAATATTTTTTGCAAATACAAAAACCTCAAGATTAGAAATGAGTTTGATAACTTACAGGCACATTTTGCATACATGTATATCAGACTTTACTGTTTTTGATATTATTTCAAGATCCTGTGCAAAATACTGATTCACCATAATTATACCAATTGCCAGCAAAAGTATTTTTTGACAGATGATGAGTTGACATGTACTGTAAATGTTCTAGTCCTATGTAAAAATATACAGTTGCTGTGTCATATGCTGGGCTTGCCAATCAAACATGTAATGTACATGTACATTTGTATAAAGGCTTTTAACAAGTGCATTCTAAGGTCTTGTACTTTAGACTAGTATAGTGGCTTTAACAGATTCAACCTGGTTAGAATGCAGACAGCAGAGCCCTAGAAGTATTAAATATACTTATATGAGTGGCATTTCAGGCACGAACGGGCACCTGAGTAGAACCACCGACATTCCGTAAGCTAGCTGGATACTTTCCTCACATGAAAGAATCCAAAGTCCCTGTCGGGATGAGTGGCATGTTTCATTACCCTAACAATGTCAAAGTGGCCAGTGTAAATCTTATAATAATCCGAACCGGCCTATTTTACATAATTGGACAATTTACAGTATAGAATGTGGCTATTGTTCAAATTTATTTTATGTCAAACATTTGCAAAATTTGCTGAAAAATGAATGAAAGAGGAAGTCAAAATAAATATCATTCTTTATATGATTGTGAAAAAGAACTATTCCGAGAGTAGATAGAGTAATCGAATTTCATCACAGACTGTCATCAGTACTGCTACAGATCACGGCTGTAATTTAAGCCATGTAGATGATTAAGTTTTAAAACTACAATACATGTATATGTACATGTAATTATCGTATATATGATCTATTAAATTAAAATAAAACATTACAGGTTACCTTTCCACTACATCCGCCCAAAAACGGGCTTTGTCCGCGGCTGTTATCGATTGTGAAAACTTGCCAGTGGCAACATCCAAATTCTCACATTTGAGCATATCACGCTCATTAGCCGTCCAATTTACTTTCCTTGCCTTGTTAGACATCGCTGAATTGCAGCATATGTTGTCTTTCAAATTTGACATTAAAATGCGCATTACTTCCTTTTTTGAAGAGTACGTTTTAGTGTGCAGGCGTAGGATTCGTGCTTTTATGAAAATCGTAAGATTAAAGGTCGAACGTACGACCGCGTTGATAAGATATTCTTACGATCGAGCGTACGACAATCGTAGATCAACATCATACGATAAGATTTCAAAAATCGTACGATCGTTGATAAGACGGCCCCTGTATATTAGAAATACCCCCAAATCCTTATGTTTTAGTATAGAAAAATCACCGGTTAAAGTTACAGCTTTAAAGTATGATTTACAATTTTATGACAAAACCGAGGCAGAATTTTTATATTACGGTTTAAAAATGGCTTTCTTTTGCAATACACTGGCTCCCGCGCGGCACGTGATTCAAGTAACTTGCGTTCTACTTTACTAAATCCAGAAATAATAAACAAGCAAATTAGCAAGGAAATCGAAGCAGGTCGAGTTGCTGGTCAATTTATTAAATGCCCACTGCCAAATTTAATTGTTATCTCCAATTGGCCTAGTTCCAAAGAAAACCCACTCGGATTTCAGAATGATACATCATTTATCATAACCGCCGGGCGAATCAATGATTACATTGACCCAGTCTTATGCACGAGTACACGAGCTTTGATGAAGCGATAAAAATAGTCCTAGATCTAGGTCAAATCTGCAAAATGTTTAAGTCAGATATCAAAAGTGCCTATCGTTTGGTACCTTTCAAACCGTCAGACTTCGAACTGCGTGGTTTTTGTTTTAATAAGTTTTATTTTGATAAGAAACTGCCACTTGGTGCATCAGTGAGCTGTATAACCTTTGAAAGATTTTCGTAATTCTGAAAATTTTGCATTTAATCAAAAGTAAAATCGGGTAAATTAATTCAAAATTTTAATTTAAAGCCTTGATGACTTTTTAGGAGGGGATATGTCAATTGATTCTGGTAATAACGCATTAGAGAGACAATGTAAGAAGCTGGGGTTGCCTTTAGCTGAAGATAAAACTGAAGGACCCACTGAGTGCCTTATATATCTGGGTCTCGAACTAGATTTTAACAGGGAATGATTGTTAGAATACAATTGTCTTAGATAAATGAGGTGGTTGAAAAATTCAGAGATATTTTTTCTCATAAAAAACGTTAAAAATGTTATAGTCTAATTGGATCATTGAATTTCTGTTAGACCTTTTATCCGTCGGTTAATTCAATTTGTGGCCTTTCTAAATCGTACCACCGTATTAGAGTTAATAAAGAAATAAAAATAGATTTATCTATATGACTAGTTGTTTTACAATCATATAATGGGATTTCTCTTTTCCACGATAGATTCTGGGTTTCTAATGAAGACGTTCAATTATGTAATGATAGTGCTGGGATTTAGGTTTTTGTTTCAACTTATGTCGCTGGTATAAACTTTTCCATAAATTGGGCGATTTTTACGACATCAGCAAGATTTGTTTACTAAACGAAATATTAGAAGGCTGTCGTAGAAGTCGTAACACATACAATAATCGGAAGACATTTTAGTGACAGTTTGTGATTTGAGGGTCTGCTATAATCTTTACAAGTTGTTTAATTCACTTTTCACTTTGGCCTACTTTGGTTTGTTTCAGGTCAGTAAATTAGTAACGCCATCCAGTATGCAAGTAAGCCTTTCCTCTTACACTTTAATAAGTGTAGATATATTACAAAATCAGATATGGCCTAAAGCGTCGGGAGGTTGTGTAGCCATTGAAAGAAAACGAAAACTATTAAACTGAATAGGCCGTCATACAGTAATGTCGTCAGGCAAAAGCGATTTCAAAGAGTCAGACATCGACACAAAAACCTGTGTTTTTTTCGCACAGACGGCATCCATCTTAATGCTGTTGGTCATGAATTATGTATAGTTGTTTTTTAAGAGAGTATCTCTTAAAAAATATTCCAGTTACACGATGAGAATTTGGGCAATCAATTTTTCAAATTTATTTTGGCCGTTAAATTATGTCGATAGAGGGGATCAGACATTGTATATTATTTTGTTTGGAACTTAAACTTTGAACCCTGATTATGGTCGTACTTTTCGTGACGAAGTACCCAACAGGGAGGCCGACCTATGATCGGGAAATGCGATTGGGTTGATTCATTGATGCGATATGTTATGTACGTACAACAAAATAAATTGTGTACTGTTTTGATTTTGTGTTTTATTTCAGATCTTAAAATAATGTAAAGTTAATAGAATTGTGAATTTATGCAAAAATGTTAGTGTCTGAGTCATATCAAATAAAATAACAATGATGAGAAGTGATTTCATATTTATTCATAATTAATTGTTTGAACCTCTCCTACACATAGCATAATCAGTAATTGTAGCCTTATCAACAATGTGTTTTATTGATGTAGATAAACTGATGACTGACTAAAAATTTGAAAATACGGTTTCATCTCTATCTATAAAGTCAAATCTTTTAACAAGCAGTACTTTATATATTAAAGATATATTATGCTAAAATTTGATATTAGACAACTGATAATTACTATGAAGTATCTTTCCAAATATAAAATAAACACCTTTTGATAACTTAGAGAAGATATGATACCGTTTCAACTATACACGCTATATGTAATCAAATAAGGATTTCATAGTGACATTTTTTTTAATTGTTGTTATAAGAATAGGCCACATAAATATGAAAAGTAATAGGGATTGCAGCGTCTCAAACATATTTCACATATTTTTCAACTTAAGTTAGACATATTAAGGAAGAAATTACTAGATTTCAATAAATTTCTGCAATAAAAAAGTATTTTACTCAAGATAAGCATATAATATTCTAACAGCAAATATAAAACACAACATGACAATCTTACTTTTTGAGACAATTTTTGTTTTCATTCTAATGTAAATCAATAACGGGGATAGCTATTCATTGTGATTCTTTAAATTAATTTAAACAAAAAAAAACGAAAAAACAAAGTGATCGATTATGAATAAAAACAAAAAGAAATGTACTCATTTCATTTATTTATTTTTTGAAAAGGGATTAATTTATCATCAAAGTGTCCCTTTTTGCGTATATCAATATTCTGCTTTTTAAATGTTAAGCAATAAAAAGTATTTGTCATTGTTTTCAACCACAACTTGTAATTGGGATGAGCTACATTTGACAAAATAACGCAATTGTTGTTTTTTAAATGTAAACCGTTCTATATCGAAATGTATAATACAGTGACAATGTTTTTTTTAAAGGAAGTGTTTCATAATATGATTAATTCTAGTGTTGGTAATTAGGACTAGGCATTTCCTGATTTATCATGTTTTTGAAATACAAATAAATCGTATCAGAAATATCAGTTAATCGTGCATACATAATATATTTTTAAAAATATTGTTGTTTTTTTTATAAAATTTAACTTGTCACTTTTAAATTACAATTAAAATGATTAAAATAAATGAGCTACGACCGTATTATGGACTAAATCATATTTGTAATTGTGTTTTACACTTTTAAAAGTAAGATTTTCATTTTTCAAACATTTTCGTTACTTTAACTTCTTCATGCATATAATCATGAACATAAATACATGTAATGTTATAAAAATGAGAATAAAACAAAAGAAACAAATCATTATTGATAAAAATAAAGATACGCTACATAAATCATTTCAGCAAACCATCAATGAATAAATACAGATGACATGTGTTTTGTTTTAAAAGAACAATTCAAACACATTTATTCATAATGTGACTATGTACTTTAACATTGATCACAAAGTGATCCTTACCTCGTGGACTGCAATACGAGTTTATCATTTGATTTTGACAAGTTATGTTTACATCACAATTTCATGAAACTCCCATTTTAACAAAATATTACACTTTCATTTTAAACAACCAAGCAAACAAACAGACAAAACGAGCGAACGGACGAACAAACAAACAAACATATGTATGTCGTCTGTTCAGAGGTTCTGAAACGAACTTAAACCACTGTGGTTGTTTACTACTCATTCTTCAACCTTATCAGCATTGTGTGAATGCATCTTTGCCATAAGAAGAAGAGATCTCAGGACAATCAATATTGGAATTGACTCCCTCCATGTAAAGTGCCCAATTTCTTCAAAATTGACAACAGGATATATCTTTGGCACAGGAATTTCTAGTTGCTTAGATACATTTTGAACAGCCTGTTGGATTTTCCTGCATCGGAAAATTGACTCTACACTATACTTGACATGCTGTGATAGCTTGTCAGTTTTCGTTAGAACGGCTATCACAGGGATATCTAAAATAAAGTAAATACAGTTTCAAAGCAGTAAAAGGCCATACTATAAACTTAAATGTTGTTGTATTCTTTGCATTGTTTAAGATTATGAAAGAATTTATCACATGATTTTATGTAGAATATAAAAGATAATACTTGAGTATAAATGTAAAATTTCTCAACTTCCAATCAAATAATCAAATATAATTTAACTGTATTTAAATTAAATTAATTTATCTCCTCAGATGAATATCAAAATGATCTTACTAAAACCATAAGCTTAGAATTGTTATAATTTAGATAAACCACTACAGATATTTTGCAATAATTATGATGTGACACTATTTGCCACACATAATACAAACAAGTTTGCTTCGATTTGCAGCTGTGGAAAATATGTTTAATTCGAATTGATTTAGAGATATTTTTGAATTAATTATATAATTTTTATTATACTGAATATTACGAAAGCCTAATACTGTCAAATAAAATAAAAATGTAAAGGCGTTATAATGCGAATGAGGGCGTTATTACGCGAATAAAGGCGTTATTACGCGAATCGTAAGGCGTAATTACGCTAATTAAAAGTCGTGAGAACGCGAAGAAAAGGCGTAGCAACGCAAATAAAGGCAAGGTAACGCGAATATAGGCATTGTTATGCGAATTAAATGGCGTAATAACGTGAATAAAGGCGTTATAACGTGAATCAAAAGGCGTAATAACGCCTTTATTCACGTTATAACGCAAAACAAAAGGCGTAATAACGCAAATCAAAAGGCGTAGTAACGCGAATAAAGGCGAAGTAACGCGAACCAAAAGGCGTAATTACGCAAATTCAAATGCATTATAATGCAAATGTTATATCATATTTTTACTAATCAAATTGTCTAGTAACGTGAGAAAGGAAGACCAATATTGATCTGAATATAAAATTGCTTAATATATAAACTCGTATAAAATAATATAATATACATTAACAATAACTACTAGTATCATTCCATTTCCGGAGTAATAATGCAAACTATTTGTCATAAGCTTATGAAGATTCTTTAATATTTGCCAATATAAGGTGACTTGGTGACTTATTGGTCCTTTGGATTGGACGTAAATACAGTTACTCTGAATTCACATGTATAACATCATTGATTTTACACAGGTCACTTCTTTTCTTTTCTTATTTGCGTAATAAGCCTTTTGATTCGCGTAATAACTGCTTTATTTGCGTTACAATGCCTTTGCATTTTCATTTTTTATATTATTTGTCACTATTAGGCTTTCGTACGAGTGGCATATATCACGAATATATGACTTGAGTTGAGTTGATACGCAAAAATGGATGCCGCCAGCAATCATTCTCAACTCTGTGGAGAGGTCTGAATTGACCTCTCCAATAACACTACCCTCCTTTGTTGATTTGTCAAATTTGCTGCGCTTTAAATTCCAAATAAATATCATAAAAATGCTTATAGCAAGCAGTCAAGTAATTTGCCATGACAAAACATTTATTTATTATTTAAAGAGAATTTGCAATTTTCAAATATTTTGCTTAATTTTATCGCTTTCACCTTTGTTTTTTATCTGCACATGACCAGTTTTGGTATAACTGTCTTTACAGTCACGCACTCCTGCTCCCAAATCGAAATGTACGTATGTTCTACAAAGAGAACAGATTGATAGGTGAAAGTATGCTGTTTCAAATATTTTATATTTTTTATATTTTAGGGGTTGCAGTGGGGGTGTGGAGCGGTGTTTATTTGGAATTTATTATTGTATTGTGTCTTTTCAGTGTAATAATCGAAAATAATTAGAGAAAAAAGAAAACCAGAGACTATTCCTCTCAAATTGCAAATTTGAAAAAATATACCGAATTCTCAAGTTTAAGTTTTATTTAAGACCAACATAAATATACTCATTGAATGTATGGTTTGCATGATCGCCTTGACGCCATATACAAAGTTTGCGGGAAGTTCGTACGCCATTGTACTGTCGACGACAATCATTACACAATGAATCCTATCCGAAAATGTTGGTGTTGATTCATAATACTCGTCATCAGAAGATATTCTTTTCTCTGGATTAAACTGCGTTTCGTGAAAGAAAGAACAAAATTTTATTGTTTTTATCATTTTTACTATATTATCTCAGATGTGTCATGGTTCAAAGAGGATTATTTAAAGCCCAATCACTATGACATTGCATATATATAGTCAAATGCTTTTTGTGACCTATTTGTTTTTTACAGTAAAACTGGTATTGCGTTTGTGCTGTACTTACTTAAACGGTGTTTTAGTACACATCTTTTTAAAAATAAAACATACCTTATATCCACTTTTGATATGTCCTTGTAGAATAAGTTTGATATTTTCTAGAAATGGATGCATATCCCTTTTTAAAAATGGAAGACCTGAAATATGGCCGAGAACAAACTGTCCCAAGGTACCAGGATAAACAAAATTTCTGTACTGAAATAGAAATATTTTAAGATGTATAGTATGTCACTCAGTTTTGTGTATTAATTTTACCAAATGCCTTTGATTGAAAAAAGTTACAACCAAAGAGTGATTTAACATTGGATTTTTTAAGTATATGTATACAACAATTGTAAATGGTTACTCAACTGTTTCACTAACGATCTACTTAATCAAATTATATATTTAAGAGATAAAACTTATACGAGGGATAAACCAGAATAAGAATTTAAATGTAAGCTTTTAGTCCTAAAACAGCAAAATTTCATCTCTGATTCAAAAAATCAATTTTAACAAACTTATCGATGAAACAACACATTACACTGAACATTCAAATTATTTCATCGACCTTTGTTTTTAATCAAACAAAAATGATGTTATTCATTCCGGCGTTGTGTATCATTTTCTTGAACAGGAACCATGGAATCACTTACAATATTTGGTTTTCTGAAATTCTGTCAACTACTTCAAACGCGTTTTGACTGCATTGGAAAATATGAACGAACATGCTGACTTTGAAGCATTACATGTAGATATTAATAACTTTGTTTAGAAAAATTGCTTTACTGGATGTGTAAACATATATTGCAATAAAGTAAATAATCAGATACACACTTTCGCTGAAATATACGGGAGGCCAAATCAAACTATTGTTGTGAACTCTCAAACAACTAATAATGAATAATTTCCGTGAAAAATTGAAATCTGTTATATCATCAACAAATAAAACAATTAAAAAAATTAAAATTCAATAATATTTATTTGAAGTTTATATTACAGATACTACATTAATGCATAATATATTCTCTTTTCGGTAAAACAAAAATTTACAACAATTAAGCACATAATGATCAGCACATTCATATCGCCGCAAAGATTGTAATGCACATTCGGCGCAGTCTGTGTTTCCCGCAGCTTATTATCCATAGATTTGAAAGCCAGACCATCTTTCGCCTTGTATTATTTTAAATTCTATTAATTTAAGCATTAATTTTAAAATGTATAAATTAAATTCATAACTACAATAACCTTAGATCTATGCAATACTTGAGTTATAGCATTGCTATGTAATACAAAAATAACTAGATTTATGCGGGGTTTCTTTATCATATTCACTGTGCCTGAAGGGGACTTTCCGAACAGATGGCAAATGATCATAAGAGCTCCTTTTTTCAGACGCCTTGATGATAACGTCTTCGAGGAAATAAATGTTGCAACTGCAAACAACCGGACCTGACAACAACCCAGAGTTCAATAGATATGAAATTCAAGCATGAAAGTTTTCAGGTACTATGTCAAGTTGACAAAATCAATGTTTGTTAAAAGCACTTTGGTGTAATCCTGTTCTGGTGAATAAAGACATATTGAAACAGTACTGAAAGGCATTAAGTACTATTTGAGGTTCAATTAAGTGACACATTGAATTTTTAACAGTCATAAATTTAACGAAGGCAACATGAAAATTAAAGGACTTCTGGTTTAAACATATTTATTTAAGCTCGATTGCGAAACAAGTTCTTGCAACTTATATTAATCACTTTCGAGTCTGCTTCCTGGAACCAACCAGTACTGGTGTCATATGAAGAAACATGGTCGTGACCCGAGTAGGGCTCGAACCCATGATCTCTGGGTTGAGAGGCAGACACCTTAACCATTAGGCCACCGCTCCCCTTTCTAAAGGACATTAGGGTGATTCTGGATCGTACTGTGTAAACTCACATGCGTGGTAACAGTTTCTTCCATCTGAGCAGCATTACAAACAATAGCTTTTTGGCCATCACGTATAGAAGCAAATGAGTTAATCAGTGAGGACATCCCATGCCCACGAAGGCCAATTGTAAGGGCTTTAAACTTTTTCAAACCAGACTCGGCTGTTGGTTTTATATCATGTACATCATTTTGAAGTTTCTCTGCTGTCTGAAAGATATAATTACTTATTTTGGTTAATGAAATGGAAAACTATAACCTAAGAGAATACCAATATTCAGTTTTATTTTTAAGTTATCTGACTTGCGATGTCACGAGTACACTACTATCTTTTGTATAACTTCAATATACCATGCCATATACATATTGACATAAAATTAACTATACTTATTAGAGATCAACAATGAAAAAGTTTTTCTCACTTCTTTGTTCCATTTGAAGTTCTCGTATGGTTCCCTCCATGGCTTCCATGTCAGTCCTGTAAAATGACTTTTAATGAAATATAACATAAGACTCATAAGGTGATAATAAAATCATGCTTTATTCAGTTTGACATTATAGACAGAAATTTTTTACTAAATGCCTTTGCTTACTTTGGAAATCAGACAAAAGAAGTCCTCGAATTATTTAGTTTTAACATATATATTCATAATTGGAATGAAAACCAATGATTTTGAAATGTTCGCCTCTTTTTGGGTCGAATAGCTTTAGGTACGGAACAGAGATATCATCAAGATATATCAACCTTATAGTTTTTTTATTGTTAATGACATATTATCATCGGAATTGTCAACCTATAATGTGACAAAATGTCTACACATGCATGCATTGATTTGTTCATTAATAATGCAAAAAAGTCTTCCGAGAATTAAAAATGTAAAAACTGTTCAAGCACAAGTCAGTTGTAAAATTTTGTCGAACAAAACTATTCAACCAAATGCGTAATTCAATCAAATATAAACACACAAAAATCGTAACGTGAGAAAACAAATAACCATAACACGATTTTTACGGAATAGAGAAAAAGAGAATCCCCAAAGAAAGCCAAACACGGCAAAATTATAAAATAAAGCAGGCTCGGTTTGATTAAATCTGTTCGTTGGCGATACTGGAATTTAGAAACATCCGCAGATGTGTTCATACGGCGGTTATCATGGAACCTTCAATGTGACATATTAGTGTCATTCCATGAAAAGCAGCGCATGGTCCGCAAGTAAAAGAATGCGTGTGCCCTAAACGAGAAAACAATAGGCGGAACTTAATAAAATAAAATTTTGAAAGGGGATCTGAGGTTATGAAGCCTGCATATCACAGACAAGAAGTAAAAGTCCAATTTATAAAACACGCAACATATCCTTAGGGTGATTTAGGAATACTAGAACCCACCCAAGTTGAAAAGAGCAAAATATATAAAACTAAAACTGATACTAAAAATACTATCTTAAATGTATACAAAACAATAACGTCGTGCCAAACGATCTTCAAGGATCGAAATTATAACATCATTGATTAAATGTACGGGGATACTTTTTACAACCGCCACACGGCACAAATAACACGGATGTGACAATGAAATATAGGAAAAAAAGAAAGCCCAGCACGGCAAAATTGTAAAATGATGCAGGCTCGGTTTGATTGAGCCTGTTCATGGACGATACTAGAAAGTGCAAGTTACCGTCCACGCCCCCTTCAACAATGCACACGCCATTCTTATTACCTCCCTGTGTATTTTCAAACCGACGGCGCCATTTTGTTTGAAAAATCTGATAAATAAAAACATTTTTTGTCGAATTTTGTTATGAAAACTATCTTGAATGAAAGTGAATGGTCTAACTTAGAAAATGACTCCGAACATTAATATTTTTAATTCAGTCGTTAACGCCGTACAGACGTTTAAAGTGTTGTTTACGTGCCGTCACAATGTAGCGCCAAACAGCACGTGCAATAACAATCAAATCAAGAACGCTATTTCAATGTCGCAAACAAGTTAAATTTCACATTTATTGCGCAATTATTACTTTGTTTTTCGGTTGAAAAATATAGAGTGAAAAAATAAACAAAGTGAATTAACGTTTTCAAAATTCGTAATTCTCAAAATGTTTCTACACACGGTAGATTTAACGACAATTTTTTCTCAACCCACTGGAACAGACTTTAAAGAACGTTTCTATTGGAAACTCTTAGGCGAAAACAAATTTAACCACCAAACACAAAGTCAAGCGATATAATAAATATTATATTTGTTTCTTGACGTGTTTGAATGGAAATAGATATTAATTCTTAAATTATTGTATAATTTCGTTCAAATGCTTTGTAATTAATCACTCAGTCCTATCGGCAATATTAAGAGATTAATACACGGAAGAGTATGGCCGGAAGGTGATAATCGGCCCGCAAAATGAATAATGGCCACGAGGGCTTCAGCCCGAGTGCATTTTTTTACGTCAGGGCCGATTATCACCTTCCGGCCCTACTGTGTCGTGTATTTATGACTTTAATACACTTGTTAGATCTAATAGTAGCATTTTTTCTAAAAACAAACTTTGAAATTTCTTTCGTTGAAGTTGATGTCTGCATTTTTACTGTACTGAACTGTATAGTTCAGTAACTTCTACAGAGTTGTTAACTTTTTGTATGTTTAAAGTGCACTATTGTAGAATCTAGAAGCAAATTTTATTTTCATTTTTTTTTTGATTGAATTTGTCGTATTATTTCTTTATATTTCAATAGTAATAAAACTGTGTTTGTACGAAATACGCTTAAGTTCTCATAATAAAATCAAGAGAACTTGTGCTAAAAACCTACCTTCACTTTTACAGTTAACTGTTTGATGACGTAAAATATGACATCATTGTTTCAGTTTGTGCACGTGCACATATTATTCAGTGGGCTGATAACCAGTTCTCAGCCCAAGGCCGCAAACTCATAATAGGTCACGTGACACTCATCATCAGTTGAAGTCATAGGCGATTTTGTTACTATACATAGTAACAATTGTATTAATTTGAGGTATATACTTGGTTGCTGCACGCCATTATGCAAAAATGGCCCGAAGATGTGCATAATGGCCTGAGGGTCGCAGGCCCGAAGGCCATTATGAACTTGAGGGCCATCATCGTATAATGGGGAGCAGCAAACAAGTATTAACGTATTTAATACATATGTCCGAAAAACGGCGTTTAGACATCGCCGCTAATCTTGGTTGTCGCACTTTTTAAGAAACGGACAGTAACTGTTGTCAATGTAAACAAATATCTGTCATACAGTTTAACACTCCGATTAACTTACAAACGTGATAGATCTAACAAAAAATAAATGTGAGAACATTTTGTTTTATTGATTTTTTTTATCGATAATTAGATCTACTGGACTCTGTACATTTTTTGTGTGAGAACAACATTTAGATCTAGTGCCAGATTTTTTATGAAATTTTGAGCTTTCAAGACTGATGTTTTGGTATTAACCTCTAAATAATGCACTCAGAATTGATATCTATTTCCTAATTAACAAACGTCACTTCATTATAAACATAATGTCTGTAAACATGTTTAAAGAAGGTACATGATATAACACACACTATGAAACATCTTTAAAAACGTTATAATATTGTCATGTTGATACTCCGGTTATTTGTAGCTAAAAAGCCATGTTTACGCAAAAATAGAAGTGAGGTACCACATTGGGAAATTAAAAAAAAATGTATCTCCATTGTAAAGTGAAATAATATCCATTCAAAAACATGAAATAAATTCAGTTATAGGGTAAATGTGCCTGTGAATACATTTTGTCATTGTCCAGTCAATTGTGAGTCAAGCTTAGTAAAACAACGTTGAATGAAAACAGAAAATAGAAAATAATTTTATTTTACCGATTCCAAGATAAAGTCCTAAAGCCATTTTTACACAAACACAATTCAGTTATTTTAAATATATGAATATTAAAATGAACATAATAACAAATTAATTGCCAGAGATTGATTTAACGTCTACACCAGGTAAAAAAACCCTTCAATACAATAGAGTTGATCTGAAGCGTTTGATAATTATAGCTGTATTCAAACAAACCTTTCACGTGCTATTAAACATATTTCTTTTGTCAAGTTGATATCGTGTATAATAGTATCTCGTATTTTAGATGGACATTAAAGATAGGTTGTTAAATTTATTGTGTACATTGACATATCGCTTATAAGGAGGACATAAAAGATGTATAATTATAGTTATTTTTAATCGGGTATTCGGTTAAATACTATAATCATTTATATTGGAAAACACACTTGAAATGAAAAGAAACGTTCTAAAATTGATGTAAATTCATGCTCGATTTTTTTCAGAGACCTATGTAATCTATGAATATCTTAAAACAATAAGCCGTTAATTTTTATCTACAATCTTCTTTATGGTGATAGCATATTTGGATGTTACTTGTTAACACTTTTTATTTAGGAAATTGCGGATAATAAAAGCAATTATACTGATGGTAGTTTTACATTTATACATAAAGACAAAAATGATAAATATTATATCATATTATATCATATTATAATACAATTTGATTTTATATTTAACCCCCCTAAAAACCGATAAAAACTGAGTTATTGCTCATGTGGGCATCAATTTCATTTCTACAAGAACTCGTTTTTATAGACGCGGTATTTTACAGGCATCAAATATGTGACCAATTCTTCTAACCAATATAAAAAAGCTTATGACTATCAAAGTTTTGGAAGCCAAACAATGTCCGCATAGCACTACCCCACTCATTGTAAAGAAAAATACGAAGCTTCAAATGATATAAATATGCATTCTACTTGTAATGAACATTTTTCTAGTTAGGTAAAGAAATGGATATATTGAAACAGTCCGAATGGTAGTTCTTGATAGGAAACAGCGATGTCAATATTTTGGTATTGTTTGAATTTATTAACCTATTAATTATAAATACATTAACGTGCTTCTTTGAATACAAGTGATCAAACTTCGCCTATGTCATTAATTTTACGGAAATTACCGATTTAGTTAAGAACAATATATCCCCAACATTGATTGTATGGTTATATCAAATCACTGTTTGGAGTTCAGATGCAAGGAATTATATCACATATCAGTTTGTCTCAATTTCTAGACTCTGTCATTCAGCATTTGGATATACATATATACTTTACTATATTCATAAACTAAGGTTATCATACATAATAATACTCCTATCATTATTGATAAGCAACGACTGTATTTTTACAGGTTCTAGTATATGATGCTGAGAAGGGAGATTATGTGTTTGCTGTATACTTGCTGAATCAGAACTTTTAGGAACAAAACCGGATATAGCTGATTTCCCCAAGTTCCTCCCTCTGCCACAGGCCCGACTGAAAGTTTTACAACAGTCCGAAAGGAAAATAACATGCTGCAGAGAAGGTAGCTGCAACAGACGCAGATGCAATTCTGTTTATACTCTGACAATGTTATGGAACAAATGTTGCAGTAGTGTAAATTAACAATCTTTGTTATTTTCTTTTACAAAATCTATCACATCAACAGACAAATGAGACATATGGTCACCCATCATCAAAATGTATCGATATTACAAATCGATGTTACAAACACTTTTTCTAAACCATTTCTAAACTCATTGGATTCAAACTCCCAGTTATCCGGCAACCAATCGCAATATGAAACTCTAGGTAGATTTTTTGAGAATATTAAAACCGGATGAATTGTTTGCCCATGAAGCAGAAATGGCAATGTTAACTGTCACATGGCCAAACAGTGCCCTTTGAACATACGCATTCCCGTGTTATAACGGATTTATCACTTCTTGACTTGTTAAAGTCTTCAAGAGTCTCTTATAGAAGTAAAAAGTATTGGTCCAGCTTACCTTGATACAGAGATGCCCTCCCTCTTTCCGTTTATGAGACTGTCAATTCTGATAGCCTTTTAAATATCTTTGAGCCGTTTTTTAGTTGGACCTTTGTTCACGTTCATAAGGGTTTTACGCCCAGAATATCCCCTTTGTTCAAGCTAATAATGGTTTTACGCCCAGAATATCTCCTACGTTCAAGATAATATGGGTGTAATAAACCCCCTAGTAACGCCTTCTTTTAATGGTACACTGTGATTCAATTTCGTTTTGCCACATTATTCCGCTTTGCACTTCATGAATTGTTTTGACATGGCAGAAGGATCATGTATATTTGCTTCCAAGACATATCAAAAAAATCGATAGGAAAAAAACTAAAAACCTCACATATACAGCACGATATAGATATTGATTTAATTATATCTAAATTCATTGGTTATAAAAACTTGATATTTAATTTAAATTAGTAAACAATTCAAAAATAATTCTTCAGAGTATCCGAAATATTCGGAAATCGTTAATTCATTATTTGTTTTTTTTAAAACAAAATAGAGATTTTTGGGCACGAATTCTTATAAATTAAAACTGCGCTTAAGTGAATAAATGTTTACCTTAACGGTACGACAAATAAATCTGCATTAGTATTGCTATATCCAATAAATAATATCTTTGTGTACCTGGTAAGCAGCATAAATGCGGTAATTTGGTTACCTCTAAGCTACTCTGGTTACGTCCCTTTAGTATGATGCAGATGTGTCAGATAACCGTACGAACCGTAAAATTTTAGACGACTGAATATCAATTTGAAAGTAAACCGTCCGTAGTGTTACGCTTTTTTTATTTAGTTACACA